CCCCAAAACCCCAAAACCCCAAAACCCCAAAACCCCTTCTAGACCTCAAAATCCCCTATAAACTTAATACAAAAAAATGGAGCCATACTGCCCTTGAGACTTTGACTTCTTGGACACAGATGAGTTCATCCAGTTCGTACTTGAACAAGTAAGCTACACTTAAAATGTACTGTTTAGAAGGAACAGGATTGGGAAGAAGAGACTAAGAAGGAAATTTTGACTGAAGATGGGCTAGTGAGAAAGGATTTTGAGAAGTTTATGAAACAGGCAAAGGGCAGAGAGATGATGAAGATAGGGAGAAATGGGAGTCTAGAGTTGATGAGGTACTGTTTAGAGGGAGCTTATTGGTATAGAGGAGGTATTTTAGGATTTCAGACTAAGTCTTTTACTGAAAAATCAAAGGTTCAAAGAAATCTTAGAAAACAATCATATGTTGATCTTTCATGTGCCAGTGCTCCTTCAAAATCTGTCAGGTATCAATGCATCTCTAAGTTCTTTAGAAAGATCAGAAAATAACCTCACTCAAGCAAAACTGAAAAACAGATCTAACTTATCCAAAAGATCATGGATTGACTCATTCCCTACCTCTTCTCCATCTCTCCCTAATCAATCTTACATCAAAAAGAAATACATAACCTTATCCCAAACCTCTTTCTCACCCCTTAAAAACCCTAAACCCCCCAAAAACCCTACCAAAATCCTCTCCAAATACCCATCCATCCCATTACCCCAACTCTACAACCCCTACCCCAAAACCAGCACCAAGCTTATCCCCCAATCCCAGTAAGTCATCTCTCTAAAATATCTTCCTATTCCCTACTGCTTTGTTCCTTAATTCTTCTTCTTTGTTAGTATAAAATTTGTGCTGTTGCTTGGCTTGGGACTGGTAGGTTTATTTTGGTGAATTTAGGTTGAATAACGATAGGATTTTCGACCCCGCTTGGATCTCTAAGAGTCAAAGAGGTGCTGATAAGTCATTATTTACGACAGGGCATCTGAGAGGTAAGTAAACTTTGATCTCAATCCACAGTCAGTGAAGTCAATCCATAATCCATTAGGGACAGCATTCCATAGACCTGGAGGAGCTTTAGTAGTCTTAAAGAGATAAATTTATTCCAGAAACTAGAATACATAAGAGATCCGAATTATAATGGATGAATCATTCATTTAACCATATAACCCATCTTTATTCTTCCTTTCTCTTCACTATTTCCTCTTCTGATCACAATATATAGGCAAAGCTAAAAATTATAAGAACTCAAGCTCTAATTTCACATAGTTCAATCTTGCAATTTTGAGTAGGGGTTTTGGGGTTTTGGGGTTTTGGGGTTTTGGGGTTTTGGGG